TCTGTGTCCATGTAACTGAATGCAGTGTATCTGTGTCTGTGTGATCAAATACAGTGTATCTGTGTTTGTGTGATTGAATGCAGTGTATCTGTGTCCATGTGATCGAATGCAGTGTATCTGTGTCTGTGTGATTGAATGCAGTGTATCTATGTCCCTGTGATTGAATGCAGTGTATCTGTGTACCTGTGATCGAATGCAGTGTATCTATGTCCGTGTAACTGAACGCAGTGTATCTGTGTCTGTGTGATCGAATGCAGTGTATCTGTGTCCGTGTGATTAAATGCAGTGTATCTGTGTCTGTGTAACTGAATGCAGTGTATCTGTGTAACTGAATGTAGTGTATCTGTGTCTGTGTGATCGAATGCAGTGTATCTGTGTCTGTGTGATCGAATGCAGTGTATCTGTGTCTGTGTGACTGAATGTAGTGTATCTGTGTCTGTGTAACTGAATGCAGTGTATCTGTGTCCGTGTGATCGAATGCAGTGTATCTGTGTGATCCCCCAGCCCTGGTGGGCACAGGCTAGAGTTAGAAGCCAGCCAGCAGGGGACCACATGCCAGGGCCAGACCTGTTCACAGCAATATCACAGCTCAGAGGCAGCTGCCCCTCTCCCATCTGCTTGCACAGCGGGCAGGTCAGATCAGACTGAACTAGGAGGCCAGGCCTTGCCTTTTTCTTCTGTCTCTAGAAAGGGTCTGGGTCTTCCAGAGGCCAAAGCCAGGGTTCTGGGAGAGGGGTATGTGTATCTATGTGTCAGAAAATAATCTCCTCTGCGCTGTGAGCTGACCGAGATCTCTGGCCTGCCTGAGGTTAGCATGGGAAGCAGGGACCTGGATATTGAAGCCTGAGCTCCCAGCTCCTGCTTCCTCCTTGCCTGAGATAACAAGGCCCCTCCCCCCCCCCAGGGTGAAGTCATCAGGCTTGTCCAGGTGACCAGCCCAGGAGAGCGGCATCCATGTCTCATTCTAGTTCTCTGCTGTCAGAGAAGCAGCTTAGGAAGGTTTAAGGAGGCAGCAGGGTTAGGAGTGGGGGCAGGGAGCCTGTGAATCTCCTCAGCCCACCCTTCAGGATAATCAAGTGGCGGATGGGGGCGGGGCACACACACAAGACACTCACAAGTTCCACTCATTGTTTCTTCCAGGGACAGAGGCCACCTAGAGGTACCCTAATGTCTGTGACCAGAAGAGTGTCTGTCTACTGTGTCCTTAGCCCCAGTGTTGGAGTGGTGAGTAGCCTGGGCTTCCTCTCTTTGTGAACACAAATACAGATGAGATAGCCTTAGATCTTGGCACAGCCCTGGCAGGCAGGCAGAGGAGATGCTTCCCAGAAGCCCTACCAGACAGTTTCCTGAGAGACAAACCTCAAGGTTTGCCTACCTCCAGCCTGGAGCAGGGCCCTCTTGCAGGCCCTGTTGCTCTTACCATCGTGGGGTCCTAGGGTGCAAATGACCTGGGACACTTATTCTGCATCTGGACCTCGGGGAGAAGGGCAAGAGTGGCAGTATTCAGAGCGTGGACAGGCAAAGATGGAGGCTTCCCGATACCCTTTCATTCCTCCAAGCCTGGCTGGTGCCAGCCTGCTTAGCTCCAAGGGGCCTTTCCTGAAGCTTTGGAGCACTAAGGCGGAGCAACACTCGGTTTTCCTTAGTCCTCTCTGCACTTACTGGGGTCTGTGAATGCAGTCATGAAACAACCAGGTATTGCACGCTACCACAGGCTGCCCTGTGCAATGGGGTCTCAGCAGACATGGCTTTGTACCCAGAGCCCAGGGGGGAAACTGGTCTGGAGAAACTCCCTAGGTCTTGAGAGGGCGTGGTAAGTCCAGAAGACACTCAGCTGCGGTGTCTGCGCCTCCCCCCTTCTGCAACCGTGCCTGCTGGTCTTGTCTTAGTGGTGGTTTGGGGACATAAATGACTGTGCCACCGAACACCACCTAGAAGAAAATCGCTTTCTGTAGGGCGGGGCTGCGCACACAAAATCTGCAGAGCAGACAAAGACCGAGCACTGGGGACAAAGACTGCAGCGGGGACAAAGATTGCTGCGAGGACAAAGGCGGAGCCGCAGCTGCTGCGTGCACGCGCATCGCGCATCGCGCATCTGCGCGCTAGTGCTCTGTGCTCTGTGCTGCGGACCAGGCGCCCCCACCTGGCCTTGAGTCTGGTAAACAAGTTCATTGTTCAAAATCAGTAAAGGCAGAAATTCTCGTTCCCAAATAGTCCTCGGCTCTGAGGCAGGGGAGGGGCAAAGAACGCCCCCCAGAGTCGAAGAAGGGCGATGCCAGTCAGTAGGAACAGTAAGGCTAACAGCTCGCAATCCCGGCGATTTTGCGCATCCCCGTCATCCCCTTTCTTTGCTAGGAAGGGCTTCGCACTCTTCCTATGAACACCCGCCGTTATCCAGCAGTCAGCGTGCACTGTAACCCCACGGGACCCGCGTCACTAGCCGCTGTGAGAAAAGACCCCGCATTGCGGCTATGCGCGCGTGCTCGCGCGCTTGGAGGGGGTGGGAGGGAGTGTGTGCACCGCGCGCGCTTCCCGCCCGCTTTGCCCCAAATCTCCGAGTGCTGCAGTCTACTCGCCCCCGCCCCCGCCTTTGCACACACGTCCCCGCTGTCTTGTGGTGAGCTGTGATGGAGAAGGCGCCCAGTGACCGTGGCGAGGCAGGGACTGAGCTGCAGAGACGCGAGAGAGGGAGGGAAGGGAGAAGCTTACCAAAGCCTGGCCGCTGCAACATCTGCCTCCACACAAAGCTCACTGCCAAGCCAACCGGTTGGCGGGAGGCCAGGAGACCCCCGCCCTCCTGCTGGCTGTCTCAGCTGTCTCCAGCACTGGGGCAGATTGTGCTGCTGGCGGTCTTGGCGCTGATACCCTCCCCCCACGGACCATCAGACCGGTGAAATGGTGGGCAAGCTACACACATTCATTTAGGAGTTCTAGAAGAAGCAGGGAAGGTCCCCGATTCCCAGTCAGGCGGGGTCACATAGTCCGGCTGACCCCACCTCCACTCCCCTCCCATTACTTGAAAGAACTGCTGGCCAAGAACAGTGGGATAGAAAAGCCACCAGGTCCTTCTGTAGTGCTTCTGGGCCTTCGTGGGTAGCAGCCCGACCTTTCCCAACCAGTCTGGTCCCTCAGAGTGGCTTCTATACGTGTGGAGCTAGGGTTCTAACTGGGTCCTGCATGGTCACACAAAGTCAACTTTGCTCAGATGCCCTGGTCTTGATGCTATTTTTCCTGCCTCCTGCCAAGGGGTAAGGGTATTTCAGCCTGGAGGCCTGAAGAAAAGAGAACTCAGTCTCGGAACAGAAGGCAGCTGGGAAGCAGGTACCCAGCTTAGCCGCAGGTTTTGATGTGGCCTAGGACCCAGGGGTGTGTTTGTTATAAGGTAGGTAATCAGGCTACCCGCCCCCCCGCCCACGCAGCATCCTCCCCTGCCTTCCATTAGTCATAAGCACCAGTAGGTTACCTGGCTTTCTGGGCTTCCAGGGACCAGCCGATGTTTTGTGTGCTTGAAGCTATTGCTTAGCCTGAGACTCTGCTTTCAACACAGGGCTCTATACTGGTCCTAGCATCTTTGGGTTCCACCCTCATAAAGCTGACTGGGTCACTCCAGGAGAGCCAGGGCTCTGTAAGAGCTTCCTGCTCCATTCCCCATTTGTTCTGCAAAACTGAAACCGGATTTCCTGAACAGGAGCCCCTGGTCACCCTGCCCTTCTCTGTTACATACTGCAGGTCATCGGCTCATACTGGCTTCAGCCTCAGCCAGGGATGCTGCCAACACCAGCACGGTGCTCCCAGGCAGTGCTGCCAGGGTACAGATGCCTGGTGACCCCAAACCACCTCTGGGAGTAGCTCCGGAGAGTTCATGGGCCAGGGAGGCTGCCAGACATCCTGTGGCTATGGGGGCAGGGGCAGGGATAAGGTTAGACTGAAAACACTGAGCTCTAGAAAGTCCTGTGTGTACAGGGTATGAAGCAGCATCCGATGGGAGAAAGGCTGAAGTCAGAAGGCTACATGGTTACTGTGTGTGAGTGGTACATAGCCCTTCAACATCCAGGCACTGTTGCAGCTTCCAACAAAGGTACCCCATAGTCTGTCACCTCCATGACCTCTCCAGATACTAGGGTCTTGGATGTGTACCCTTTGCAAAACCCCGCCCCAGCTCTAGGGCATCTTGCATCATGTTCAAGGGGAAGACAGAAAGCCTCTAACCCTGGAACCCTTTAGTCTGTCTTTGCCATTTTTTTTTCCCTGCAGAGATTTTGTTGCCCCCTAGATAAAAGAAACCTATTCATCAACGCAAGGCCAACCCCACTGACCCTAGAAGCTCCTGCCCCTCCATGGCTAGCAACTTCTACTACCTTCTTTGCAATATACTTTCAGCCACAGTCATGAGCCTGGGCCTGCCTTAGAAGCTGCACAGGGCACAGGCTTAAATAGAAAGAGCCAAGAAGCTGGGATAATGGGAGTGATGAGCTTTTGGGAGGCAGCCTGGCTAGTTAGTGATCTCAGGTCCACAGCCTGGCGACCCAAACCTCTGAATCTGAATAAAGCCTGGGCCTGAGGTGCCCCCACAGCACCTCCGCTGCTACCCTGCTGGGGGTGGAGGACTGGGATACCTCCAGGATGCCCCCTTCTTTCTGTAGGAAGTACAGAAGCAGCACTAGAGGCCCATAGTAGCTGTTTGAACTTGCTGCTGGGGTCCACGTAACTCCCAGGAGCTTAACTACTCAGACACCTTGACAGGAGTGACAGCTACAAGCCAGCTTCACATACTTCATCTGTCCCCAAGAGGGGCTGAATTAAGATAGGGCATGGCAGTGACCAGACACAGGCAGACCGACGGGATATACTCATAGTCCAAGGGGAGGACTCAGCAGGTCCTCCTTTGGCCAACTCTGACACCCCCTCCTGCCCTTCTCTTCCAGATCCTTCTTTTTCACATCTACACACCAGCCCTTCTCCCTCTATGCCCAACAAGGTAACCAGGATGCTGTTCTTACCGTCCAGTGACAGCCAGTCGTGCTGAGAGGAAGGGAGTGTGGGCAGAGCCCGGGCTTTGTACTCAAACACCACCGAGTTGGAGATGATCTGATTGTTGAAGGCAACTTGTAGGGTCACAAGACCCGTGTCGTGGGCTGAAAGTCAGAAAGAGAGAAGTCAGGGTGAGGGCCCCTCCTCATTACCCCTCCTTCAGTTAACAACCAACTATTAACCCTACCCGTGCCTACCTATTTCACAAGGCCCAAGGGTGGCATTTCTGGGAAAACTCTAGGCTCCAGATTCAGCAGGTCTCTGGCTGGGATCCCCAGAGGACCCCCCCCCCTGCTTGTTAGTTTTTTGTTTTTTAGTTTTGTTTTGTTTTGTTTGAGACAGGTTCTCACTGTATATAGCCCTAGTTCACCTGGAACTCCGTAGTTCAGGCTGTTGTCAAATTCCTAGAGATTTGCTTGCCTCAACCCCTGAGTTCTAGAAATAAAGGTATATGCCACACACTGGAAAGCCTCTTTGGTTTTAACTGTGCCCCCTGGGATGGGCAGGGACCTGAGCTCAGCACAGGTGGCTTGTCCCATCCATTCTTCCCAGGGTCAGGAACATCTGAGGATTTGTATTTATTTTGCCTCCTCCTGCAGCCATGTCCTGACTCACTTCAGGTAACACCCTTAGTGTTTTAGGAGCTCCTCAGCCTCCTACTGACAGCCAGAGCTTCATCTGAGGCTCTTACCGTGGCCCTGTTGGCCTGAGATGCTGGGGGCCATGTAGCTACTGAGCCAGAGATGCGAGCTCAACTCTTACACTGCTTTCCAATGACTTTGGGAAAGCAGGAGCTTGTATTCTAGTGCAAACACAGGGCTCAACGACTTCTGAATGAGCTAAATAAATGGATGAAAATGTTCTCGTTAGGGCAGGAGAAAAGCCAGCTGGAGGAGGAGAAATATTTCTGCTGGGGTGGAGGCAGCTGTTCTGTGGTCTCCAGTGATATCTTGGAGGCTGTACTGTGGTCCCCCCAAAATGTCCGGAGGCAGCGGTGGCTATGCTAGGGCTTCTTCCCCTAATAGGGGTCAGGTTATGTTTTCTGAGTACCGCTTTTCTGGAGCTGGGACACCAATACTCAGGGCCACCCCCGGCTGGTCGGCCGGATTTCCAGGGAGGACACATGGGATCGTGTTACTGTTTGGGCTCTTGGCTTTCAGAAGCCTACGGGCATGAGGAAGCCATCCAAGTCAGCTGCTCCTGAGGACAGGGCAAAGCTCTGGCTTCCCTCAGAGGACATCTGCAGATTCCACTTCCGATGGGAAACCCAACTCATCGGTGGTGGCCTCTCTCCAGCTGAGGTGTATGTAGAAAACAGGTCTCGGGGATATCATCATTATCCAAGTGTGACCAGCAGGTTTTCCTGCTCTGCTCCCTGGCTGGATGGGACCCATGGTAGTGGTGGTGGTGGGGGGGTCATCTAGGACCTCCCATGGTGCTTCTCTGGACAGGGATCCCCAGTGATATCCAGAGTCGTCTGCCATTCGACTACATCCCTGGGCAAAACTCCAAGACTGTGGTTACTATTCTCCCCTACAGACGTGCCTGGTTTACCAACGGGAAGGAAGGGCTACGGGAACTCTTCGTGTGATCCCAAGGAGCTCTGCTCTCAAGGTGGGGAAGCTGTCGTCTCTGGTGTCCAGTGTCTAGCCAAGGACCCTCTACCATTGCTCTTGCCACTGTCCTGACATCTACACAACTCCTAGCGCTGCTGAACGGAGCAGAGTCTCGGGCATTCCCACCATCCCCAGAGATGCGATGTGGGGGCGGAGGGGGGGGAGGGAGGAGGGCTGGAGGGGAGGGCTACCACTGTGTTGCTGGTATCAGGCCCAGCTTCCTTGACTTCCTCTCTTCCTCTCAGATAGCCAATCAGCAATTCTCAGCCCCATTCATTCATGTCTCCATGGCTTCTGCGCAGAAGAACCATACCTTGCCTGGCTGACACAAGGGCCCCCTGCTGAAGGCAACAATGTTCCTGCTGCGGGGGGGGGGGGGGATGGGGTGGGGGTGTGGAGGTGTGGGGGGTGGCGGGGGGTGGTTCTTGTAGCATCCTTAGAGGAGGTTACCAGGGGAATCTTTTTCTCTAAAAGTCATCCTACCCTTAGCCCTGTTCTCCTGTTTTCTCATTTAGGCTATTGTTCCTCCTAACCCATTCCCTCAAAACTAATCCTTAATCCTTTTTTATATAGGGTAACACTATATAGCCTTGGCCAGCCAGGAACTCACTCTGTAGACCAGGTTGGCCTTAAACTAAGAGATCCACCTGACTCTGGTCCCCCCACCCCACCCCATGCTGGAATTAAAGGTGGGTGCCAGCACACCCTGTTCAGAATCATCTTTTAAATACATAATTTAGACCAAATCATTCTGCTGCCTAAAACCATTGACTTCCCACGTGAGTACAATTAAATCAGACTCCAGGGTGCCAATCCTCTCCCTGCCTCAGGGCCACCATGCCCCCCTCATCCTCGGCCTGTTGTAACAGTCTTCCATCCTTCCCGAATCTGGCTCAGTGCCATCCTTCTGCCAGCCTCCAGGGGATGCGCCTCCAAAGGAACTGCTACTGTGTATACCCTCTTCACTTGTCCTCACTGCCTCTCCTAGTTCCTTTGTTATTTTCTGTCTCCCTGGAGCAGAGTGTCAGCCCCCAGCAGCAGAGACCCTGTTGGTCCAGCTCTTCATGTTCAGCACTCCAGTCCATGGCAAGAGCCTGTTCTAATCACCTGTACCTCCGCTGAGTGGGCTGTCTGAACCCGTGTTCTGCTCACTTTGAGTTCCATCTTTTGCCTTCTGATGACTTCTAGGAGACCAGGTGGGGGGCTTGCAAGCCAGCAGATATCTTGGTAGACTCTTCCACCTCTGGCTCTCTTCTACTGCACCTGGCCTTGCTTGGTAGCCTGACTTGACGGACTGCCCCTGGGCTCAGGACAGTCCCAGTCCAAGAGTCTAGTGTTGCAGTGACAGGGTGAACTTAGAGGAGTTCTGTTCTCTGTCAGGTTTGGTTTTGCCCAGGCAGGTGCTCCCGGCTGCCAGGAGGTTGGCATTTATGTCCTCCGTGCCTCCTCTCCCTTCCCATTCTCAGCCTCTAAGGTGGCCTGGCTTCTGTTCACCTGCCTCTGAGTCCCTCTTGTTGGCAAGGTCAGTTTAGTTCTAGTGTCTGGGGTTATCCATTAAGATCAGCTTCAGTTTCCTCTGAGAGACCCCAGGATGCCATCCCTAGTGGCTGGTATCACCTCTCAAGGGAGAGGTTGGTTGATTTGACCCAGGCTCTTTGGACTAGAAGCTCTTCGAGCCAGGTGCTCCTGGGGCTTCAGTCTAGGCATCTGCTCAATCCATGGCAATCAGGAGACTCTTACAAATGACTTGGATGATGAAACAAGGAACGAGTGAATCAATCAATCAATCAATCAATCACCTAACAGGACCTGTTTCAGACTGGATATAAAAACTGATCTAGCTTCATGGGACATGCTCTGTGAGGTTGGCTGCCAACAGGAAGTGCCACGGTCAGACCATGGCACTCAGCCTCTAGTTTTATGGCATCTGGTAGGAGACAGGCTTATTTTAGAAGTGTCCCAGTGACTAGGCAAGACAGTAGCCTGGGTGGACTCTGTGGATTAGCACTGGGACCCCGGAGTGCAGCGGGATCATGAGAACTACCTGAGGAGACGAGAAGAGCCCTGGCTCCCTCCCCTTGCTGTCTTTGTGAGAGGAGAGCCAGAGGCAAGAGCTTCGCGACCCTTGGCTGTTCCATGTTCCCAGCCATCTGGAAGGAGGTCTCAAAAGACAGATGTTCAGAGACACAAATCTCCAAGGTGAAGTTACACACATGACACATGGTCCACCAGGACCTATCTGGGTGGGACTGACTCCAGCCCCTAGAATCCTCTGCGTCCTGACCTGGGATACCATACAGGGTCAGGCAAAGCCCTGTCCTTGGTCAGGAACCTGCGGCAAGGTCTAGGGATTTAGCCAGGTACAGGAAGCAGCGTCTATTTATGGGCCAGGCGAGTCTCCTTTCACAGCAGGTGCACAGTGGACGGTTTAATAGCATCCCGCCCTCTCTTCCGCGCTAGGATGGGCTGTCTTAGCACAGGGTGGCCATCTGGATGGCTGCCGTCCAATTTCAGCAGTACTGCTGGGAGGACCTGGGGCTGGGTAGGCCCTCTGGAGACAGCCTTAGCACTGAGGGGAGCTGGGTCGGCAGTGAGAGGCTGCTATAGGCACCAGCTCTGGCCGCCTGAGGCATGAAGAGTGAAGGAGGTACTAGGCTGGGCTGGACATTTGATGCCAATTCCCCTGAAGCAGGGCATTCTGATCTGGTGGGTTGCAGAGGAAGGCAACGTGGAGACGAAGGGAAAAGAAGGAAGAAGGGGCAAGGAGGAAGATGAGAAGGGGGAGGAAGAAGGGGCAGGAAGAGGAGGGCAAGGGAGAGGAGGCAGGAGTAGGGGAGGGGGAATGGTTGGTTTGTAAGCTTCACAGTGCCATGTAGGGGACAGGGTGAGTAAGTCAGGCAAGCAGTGAGGAGACCACAGCAGATTGTAGGGGATCCCTGTTGGCCCACACAACCTTGGCCAGCCTGCTTCTGCCCGGGAGTCCCTACTTTTCTTCCCCATCCTGGCCCTCTGCTAGAAGTACTCTTCCTATACAAGCTCTCTGGCTTCAGACAATGGAGGATGTCCCTCTGCCTCTTCCCACCCCATCCTCCTTGTTCTGCCTCTCCTGTCCCTTGCCCAGGCTAGGTGGACCAGGTGCCCACCTAGCTGCTGACGCGAGAGGTTGAGACAAAGTTTCCCCCAGTCTCACCCAAGTAAACAGAAAGCTCACGTTTTCCAAAGTGCTTTCAAGCTCCAGGAGACCCCTTCACAGACCCCCAGCACCCCGAGGTACTTTACAAGCCTTGGGGACACAACAGTGACGAAGAAAGACACAGCATCCTGCATTCGTGGGGCCCATTGGCTAATGGGGGAGTCGATATGGTCAGAGGTCAAGGATGAGTTAGTCAGAGATACCAATCTAGGTGGATCAGAGCTCCCTAAACTGCGGGTCATGATGCCATAGGGTGTTGCCAAGTGGACAGACACAGTGAGAAGCAGCGTGGTAACCGTAAGAGGTTTCTAAACATTCAATAACCAAAAATTCAACACAAATGCACAGTGACTCCTCGCTGCTCCTGGCAGTGCCTGTCCATACTGGGTCAAGTGACTTTGCTGCAGCCGTGGTTCTGAACGCACAACACGTATGGTTTGCTCTGCATGGCTGTCATGGCGTATCCACCTGCAAACACTGCCCGAGATGCTTTAGCTCTGATCCGGGACTTGTCTTTGAGGAACTGCGGTGTGTTTGCTGTACATACCAAGTTCTCTGCTCTTATGGACATACACGACTTGATTACTGAAAACAGACTAAATATTCCCTGTCATTCCTCAGCCTGTAAGTATCAAATTAGTCCATTTAGGTTGTATTGTATTAGCATGGTTGCTTTCAGAGGTTGCTTTCTGAGTTGCTGATTAGTTTCATTAAAAAAAAAAATCATTAAACGAATTTTGGCCTGGGCTTAGGATGACACTTCCAGCAATTTCTAAAGTGACCTTAAACAAATTTCTCACATTTTGAACTATATATTTATGCAAACTGGCATTCTCAGCATCAATGATTATAAAATCAAGGTATTGATCAACTGGAAAATATTGAAGATATTCTATGCTCTTTAGTATCAAATGGTCAAGATTTTTTTTTTTCGAGACAGGGTTTCCCTGTGCAGCTCTGGCAATTTTGGAACTAGCTATGTAGCTCAGGCTGGCTTTGAACTCACAGAGATCTGCCTGAATACTGGGATTAAAGGTGTGCACCATCACCACCTGGCCAAACAGCCAAGATTTAATATTTTGTGAAAAAATAAACAAACCCATCTATTTTGTTAGGATGCAAATTTGATTTCATCTTTAATAGATGATGAAATTATATGAATACCAAATAATTATCTTAGGACACATTTCTTTATGGTTTGTTATCAGTTTCTGACTTGTTTACCAAGTTTACATGCCTGGATATCTGAGGTCACTCAGAAACTTCTCAGATATAAACTGGGTGGCTGAAGACTTCATGAAGTCAATGACGCAGAAGCCTGGGGATGGGGAGGGAGAGGACAGACACAGAGGGCACAGGGCTCTGGCTGACTTCCCACGAGTCTCTGAGGCCTTGGAACCAGAAACCTATTATGTGTGCTTACCGTTTTCCCTGGGCAAGTCTCTCAAAGGAGCGTGTGTTCTTTGCTCTTAGTGTGACACCCCTCCCCACGTGGCTCCCCACAGCCCTGACACATGGGAGCCTTCCCTGAGCCCCTCTGCCCTGTGCCCCAGAAGAAGCAGTATTGTGAACACAGGGTCCTGAGCTCCCTGTGTGGCAGGTGGGCCTGGGTTGGCGCAGGAGCGAGGTCAGCCCTACTGTACACCAGGTCTTGTCTGTCACTTTGGCTCAGCCCCAGCCAGGGCCATCTTGGCTATGTCAGCTGACTAATTGAGTCTTTAAATAGTCCCTTTGCCATGTTTTCTCCACAATCCCCATGGAGCATGTCTGGTATTCCCAGTTGATACGGGCTCCGTGAACCCCAACTGATGATAGAATAGACCGTGTGGGCACACTTCTTCGACACGACTTGTTCAAGGTCATCCCAAGGCTGACTCAGAGTCTACTGTCTCATTCTGTCCCCTCCCCCTTGCTGGTACAGCCTCCTCACCTGGGCAGTAGCAACGCAGCACCCCAGGCTGAATCAGGGATGCGGGCACGGAGATCTGGTCAAACAGGCAACTGTAATTATTGCTGGCTTCCTGCCATGGGCCTGTGATGAGGACCTTCACTCCTCCCTGCAGAGAGAACAGACATGGAGCAGTGGCTCAGGGAACACAGTACATGGGAGGTCCCAGCAGCTGCAGGCTCGGATGGAAAGGGAGGGGCGAGGGCAGCTGGCTAGACATGCAGATTCCCAGCCCATAGCCCAGCCTTCCCATAAGCCCTGATGTGTGAGAGATTCCTTCTAGAAGAGAGGCCTACAGTGGTCCTGACACCCAGCGGACTTCCCCAGTTGGCACCCAGCACCCTGACGCTGTCCTGGGTACCTCAGGGTTCCATGACATGAGTTGGAACAAGGCCACGTTAGCCCATTGGTGCACCCGAGAACCAGCCAGCAGGTTCCCCAGGAAAAAAGCAGAGTGGACATAGGAGACTTTCAGTCATGCATGGAGGAAGAGGTGGGGGGACTCAGATTTGAAAACAGCCCCCCCCCCCAGGGACAGATATTCCTGTAAGAAACTGAAGAGAAACCCAGGACCCTCAGGGTGTGGTAGGAGGTGGGTAGGGGTGAAGAACACGGGGTGGAGGGGGAGAAGAAAGGAAAGAAGCATTCAGAATTCTGATATAGCCCTCGGAACTGAGCTGAGGCCTGGGATCCAGGCTGAACCTCCAGTTCCCTGCCTGCTGTGTCACCCGGGGTGCCTCGAGCTAAGTAGACATGAAGAACGGTCCCTTGCTGCCACTCCTGCAACACACAGGCAGGCAGCAGCCTGGAAGCCTGGCTAGGGCCTTAGCTGACCTTCCTCAGATCCAGTGGATGGAAAACCGTCTTCACAGACCCAAGGTGCCAAGGGTGAGACAGTATCAGAAAGGCTGGGCCCTCCCAACCTGCTCTGGCCAGCAGAAATGCCCCAGAACAAGCAGCCTCATGAGGCTGCTCCCAGGAAATCCCTTTCAGAGCCATTGTTCCCGTTAGTGATTAATGGCACCTCCTCTCTCTCTCTCTTTCTCCTGAGTCCCAGGTGGAGGAGGCTGAGAGGTCCCCTACTTACGGCTTAGCCAAGAAGAGAGGCTGGTCATTCGGGGTGGAGGGATGCTCTGCCCGGGGATGCAGAGGGCAGGGGCGCTGGCCTCTGGCTCTCCTGGCTAACCTTGGATAGACCCACCCCAGAGGCTCATCCACCCCACCCCCAAAACAAGTAAACACCTTTCCCTGCAGGGGGGCGGAGAGCTGTGCTGGCCAGGGTGGAGAGCGCCACCTGGTGGCCTGGCTAGAGAAGGCTGAGAGGCGCACCAGGAGTTGAAACGAGGCTAAGGCCAGGTTAGGAGCCGCCTCCGCAGTGAGCCCTGTCTTCCCCACCGCTCCAAGCCAGGCTCTCTAGTCCTCCGCTGCTGCCCCGGGGCCAGCCAGAGTCTATCTCCTGTTCATTCCCTCATTCCCTCCTGCTCTTCTCAACTTTTGCCTGTCCCTACCCTGGAGGGAGCTCCTAATTCTATACCCATCTTTGCTATCAAGACCCCCTACCTACCACAATGTTCCCTGGAACGCAGGCTTTGGCATGGCAGGACTGGCCTTGGGCACAAAAATAGCAGCTGGTGTTTGCCATGATGGTACTCTGGGCAACGTGTGGCCCAGAGCCAGCAGAATTGCCCGTGGCGGGAAGGCACCCTCCTGTGCTGGCAAACAAGCCCTCCTCTGGGTGGGGATGTCTAGCTTCATGGTCACTTTACCGTAGTGCCACCAGATTTGGAGGCAGTGGAGAGAGCGCCAGGCAGAGTTCCACAACCAGAATATGCCCACCCCATCTCGGATTATTCACAAGTATATTTTTGCCCACATGTATATATGTGTGTATCCAGTGCCCTCAGAGGTCAGAAGGCAGCATCAGATCCCCTGGAACTAGAGCTACACTTGGTTGCGAACCACCACTCGGGGAACTGAGAATCACACCCAGGACCCCTGCAGAGGAACCCGTGCTCTTAGAGGTTGAACCCTCTCCTCTTGCAGTCTGCTCTTGCCTTGGGTAACTGTGTGACCTCAGGCAAGTGGCCCAGTCCCTCTGGTGGCTGTGGTTATAGATGCCTTTCTTTTCCCAACAGCTCTGCTGAGTCGATTCAGGGCTCTGTCATTGTGTTGGTGTAGGAGTTGGAAGTGGCTGCCTGGGTGTGATGTCATGCTCTGAGCCTGGTTCTCCCATGAACCCTGGGAAGTGGGAGAACCCTGGCTTCAAAAGGCCACAGACAGTTACCATGGGGGGGGGGGCGAATGGAATAACTGCAATCCACGGCTGCTGGCGTGATGCTGGGCTGCCGTGGGGGAACAAAGAACTGCCGAGAGGACTGGAGAACATCAAGACCTTCTCCATGGCAACTGCCGCAGGACGCCTCAGCATCCATCAGTTCCAGGGACAGTTGCCATGGCAACCACTCGCCTGGCTGCACTGAATCACTTGTGATGCCTGCGTGCCTGACAGTTCTAATTGCAGCTTCTTCTGCCCGGTGCAGAAAGAGCTAGTGGCGGGAGATGATGCAGGGGGAGGCTTGGGGAGCAGTGGGGGTGCTCTCTGAGGTCTCTGTCCTGTGAGCCCTGAGACAAAGGGCCTTGAGTCCCAATGTACCCTGGGTAGATGCTGAGGCACAGAGAGCATTGGTGTGTGTGCATGTGTTCTAGTGTATGTGCTGTGTGTTACGTGTGTAGTGTGGTATAGCGTGTGCCTTTTATTCTGGGTGTGGTGTACATCATATGTATAAATCGTATGTTCACTTTGTTGTGGTGTGTGTGTGTGTGTGTGTATTGGGGACCAGCTGAGAGGTGACCCAGTGGGTAGCGTGGAGGAGACATGGGAGCAGACATAGGAGGGAAGCACACCCAGAAAAGAGCCAGTAGCCCAGGCTAGGCCCGGCATGCCTGGGAACCATTGCAGCGTAGAGCTGGTGTGGGTGATAGGCCAAGTGACCACATAGCCTGACCCCATCTTTGTGACTTAATGCGAGGTCCCAGCTACAGGGCTTGTTAGAGTTCTCCCTGAGCTTGCCAGAGCCCCTTTCAAACTGGGCTCCTGATGAAGTCACCTCACACACACCCCATTATCAGCTGGCATGGAAAGAAGGCATGATACCCGGAATCATGCCTACAGCGGGTTTGAGAGGGGACTTGGTATCAGGAGAGAAGTGATGCTTTCTTACAGAACTAGGTGACCCTGCTATCGGCCTGGGGAGAGTATCCTGGGCAGGAGAGCCTGGCAAGGAGGAAGTCACCTTGGAGGCTTCACTATGAGGTCCTGCTGGGCACAAAAATGACTCTTTGCTTTGATCAAATTGATTCTATTTTGCTTCCATTTCAGGGTGCCGGGAATTATCAGGGTTTCTGGAAAATCGGGGTTGGACACCAGTGACTACTATTGCATTTGCCATCCTGGCCTGCCCTCTGGTGGACAGCTGCCGAATTACAGTCTCCGGGATATGGTGGAAGGCTGCATAGGTTGGTGAAGAACCAAGGAAGCCAGACTTGCTGAAGACCTCATTCAGAAGTTAGAACCCTGGCCTGGGTGCACGCTCGCGCGCCGGGGAACAGGCGATCCCACCTGATGGGTGATCTACAGCCTGGGCTGGAGCATACTGCACGCCTATAGGCTTGTATGAGGGCTGCTCCTCCCAAGTCATAAGACACAGTGGTCAAGTCCACTCCCTCTCTTAGGTGTTGCTTGACAAGGGAACTGAGGCCCAGAGGGTCAGACTTCAGAGTCCAGCCAGAAGGCAGATTTGACCTCTTCCCAGAATACACCTCTCCTTCCTGTTCCTTTAAACAGTTTCCCCGAGCCTCCTGGAGGGTCTCTGGATAAGAACAGCAGGAGGAACATGATGCAGGCCTGAGAAAGCAGGGTGACAGCCAAGCCACGCCAAGAGGTAGCCCAGTAGGGCTCTTCTAGGTGCCTACAGAAGGGTTGGACTGTGGCAGAGTGGAGGTGGACAGGGTGACTTTGCCTGGGCACATAATGCTGCCAGTCTTCCGAGACTCCAGGATCCATTGCTGCTTTACATTTTTTTCAATTTAATTTTTTTATGTGTATGGGTGCTTTGCTTGAATGGTATTTGTGTACCACATGTATGCCTGGGCCAGAAGAAAGTGTTCAGATCTCCTGGGACTAGCATTACAGACAGCTGTCAGCTTCTATGTGGGTGTTGGGAATTGAACCTGGGTCCTCTGGAAGAGTAGCCGGTGCTCTTAATCACTGAGCCATCTCTCCGGCCTCTCCATGGTTGCTATTTTAGAGATAGGGAAGGTGGCAACTTCTCCAAGGTTGCTGGAGTATAAGGACAGAACCAAGCTCCCCACCAGATCCTCCAATTCCGGCCCCATGCTCCTGGCCATTCACCTACCATGGTGGTCTCACCACTCCCTCCAGCATCCTGAGGATGCTCACGAGACCGTATGGGCAGCAGCTGCTCTGTCTCGGGTCTAGAGGCTGGGCTACTCTGGCCTGGGCATTAGTCTGGCTTTACTGGGGGAGAGGAAATATGAACCTAGTCCCTGCCCATCACCTAGATGATGTGGCGGGGGAGGGGGGGAGTTATGGGCAGCCACCCTGGGGTAAAGTGTCTGACCCAGAGGCTGTGCTGGCACAGCCGGCCAGATCTTCAAGCTCTGCCACATGCAAGCAAGGTATCTAGGGGATCTGGAGCCACACTGCCCCCTTCCTAGCCCATCCTATTTTAGTGTCCCCGAGGCACGACCTGGGTCTTCCTACAGTCCTTGTTGGGGCGGTAGTCTCTAGAGTGAGAGCCCTGGAAATCAGCCATTGGTGAAGGGAGCACAGGCTGGATCTTGGGGCACATACCATGTTGATTTTGTAGATGGCTGAGCGTCCCAAAGTTGCACCCTCCCTATCACTTTTGGTGGGAAGTTCCCCCACTTGCTTTAGTGAAGCCGAGCTTGAGCTACAGGGAGCAATAACCCCAAGACTCTGATGTTGATTTCTGATGCTTTTAAAAGTAGTTCCAAGACACCCTCCATCCCCCAAAGAAGGGAGGGTGGAGAGAGAGTGGAAGGGAGGGCAGGGGACAAAGCAGGAGGAAAGGAGAAGGGGAAGAAAGAAAAGGGAAAGGAAAGCCAAGATTGTAGCCAGAACACAGCAGGCTGCTCTGGCCAGAGCTGGGAAGGGCAGCTTGCCTCCTGGGATAGCCCTGACTGGAAAACTCCTTGCTACAGTAATGTCTTTGTGCCACCGCGGGAGGGAACAGCTTTGTGTTTCCGGGCAGAGCTCCATCCAAATGGCCGCATGCAAACAAGCTTCCCAGGATGCACCGCGGCACGGGTGAGATGGGTGTAGGGCGGCGTGTGGTAGCACCTGAAGCTTACCTCTGGGTAAGACCACTCTGGGGAGTAGTCAGTCACCATGAACACCCGTCCACTCTGCTGCAGCATACCCAGGGTGCCCTGGGCAGAGGCAGCGGAGACCACCTCGGCGACATGCATGTAGGCCATGGCGCCGGCCCCGCCCTCGGCGCTGCTCAGCTGCAGGCTGCCCTGTTGGGGGCTGCAGCAGGGGATGCACATCTCCGCCTGGGTGAAGGGTGCACGCGCCCCATCTTCTGACTGCGAGAGTGCAGCATTGTCCCCCGACACCAGCTGATGCCCGTAGATTGTACCACTGCCCCCCTCCACAGAGATGAAGTCATTGATCAGGTCTGAGAACTGATTGCTGAAGGAGATGTCAAAGTGGTCCAGGCTGAGCTCCATGTTAGAGGTGTTGCCCAGGCTGGGCTGGGCCACCGGGTAGAGTCCCTGCACCACATTGCTTGGGAGAATGGGGACACCACCTGCACTGCGGATCACCCCATTGGTCTCTGGTTGCAGGTAGTGCTCTGAGCCACAGGCCTGCAGCTCCCCAGACTTGAGGAGGACCTCACCCCCTTCAGCTGCCTGGGAGGTCTCCATGGTAACCTCCCCTTCTGCGGTCATGGCCTGGAAGTTGGCCTGGAATTGCATGAGGTGCAGGGAGGAAGTAGACTCTATCCGCGTTTCCACATGGCCACTGCAAGAGCTGGTTTGGGATGAGGCCTCCGTTTTCACCGTGGGCATCACAAAGGTGTTCCCGGAGTCGCTCAGGCTGCTGTGGGCATTCTGCTCAAGGGGTAAGGGTTTGCTGGCATCCTGCAGGAAGAAGCTGGGGGAGGGGGTCTGGTGGATGTGGGGGCTGTGGCCCGTCTGGCTGAAGCTGGACGTGTAGTCCTTGTTGGAGTCTATGGCACTGAAGTCCATCTGCTCAAGGGTGGTGCTGGGACTCAGGCCACCGCCCGACGGCAGGAGGCTGGATCCCGCGGTCAGGGTGAGGGAACTGGATGCCGCTGCAGCTGCTGCCGAGGAGGAATACGCCGCCTCTTTGGCCATCTGCTGCTCGAAGGAGGTGTCTTCCGTCTTGATCTCCTTGGTGAGGACGCTGGTGAAGCCAAAGGCCCTCTCCGAAGGCGGCGAGTGCCGGATATTGGTGCTAACCATCTCGGCTTTTAGGCCCCCACCCCCGTATGTCTGGCCCTGCTTTGGATTATTGAGGAAACAGTCGGGGTCAAAGTTCATGGTGGTTTCTGGAATCTTCCGGCCACCATCAAGGGTGGTGGAGAGGACCAGCTCTTCGGACACATTGGTGGGCAGCATGGACAGGCTATCTGAGCTGCCCGTGGTGGGGAAGGCAAACTTATGGCCGTCAGAACTTACAGCCAGTACAAGGCCCTGAGAGGCATCAGGCGAGAGGAGGTGGTGGTTGGGGCCGGCGGTGGGGGACATGGTGTACACGGCCTCATTAGTGACCTCGGACATGAACACTGTGGCACTTTGGGACAGTCCCCCCATCACAGAGGCCACTGCCATGCTGGACACACCTGTGACAACTGGGCTGTCTACCATGTCTGGGTCGCTGTTGAGCCCGCTGCTGATGGACACCGGGGAGCTCTGGGTGGTGTCAGGGACCTCCACCTGATTGGTGGAGGAAACCTCCGTGCTGTTTTGGTGTAGCAGTGCTGGCTTGGCCACCTTGCCGTTCCTCTTTTCCCGGCTTGTGCTCCTGCCATGGCTGGGTTCATGCTTGCCCTCCGACACATCATTATGCTGCACCTCGGAGTGGCCCCCGTAGCCCCCAGCCCGTGGCTCCACCTTCGGTGAGATGATGCGGTGTTTGGCACTGTTACACTTATGATGCACGCTGCTGCCCGCTCCTGTGGAGATGGGAGCAGAACACACACACACATATGCACGCACGCACACACACACACACACACACACACACACACACGCACGCATAAAGTCAGAGCTGGGACTTCGACTGATTCTTCTCCCAAGCAGTCAGAACCCTTTGCAAAGTCCCCATCCAGACCCCAGGCAGGACAGTCCACCATCTTTGGACACTTGGGATCTCCTCTCACACCTGCAGTTCCGCCATGCCCTATGTGACCATCCTGCATGATCAAATGTTTTGAACCTGTTGCTATTTTTCAAAATTAGCAGGATGTGGTATGTAGCACCCAGGGTGTTGCTTTCCAGAAAAGTCCTCTTCACCCCACCAGACAGACACTGCTCATCTGGAAGGATTCTTTCTGAGCTGGAAGACTCATTCCAGGGACTGTGGCTCTGTCTTCATGTCCAACCCAACTTCTTACACCCGATTCTGACTGTGTAATGCTTCAAGAAACCTGTGACCTTCAGGACCCTTGTTCTGGGGACCAGGAACTGGAGATTGGCCCAAGGTGGTAAAGAATACGCCCTTCTCCAGGCCAGGTCTCAGAGCCTAGAATCAAAAAGCATTCTAGACTCCGCTCTGGGGCAAGAACGTATTTAAATATGTTTATTACATTAAGTTGTGGCATACGTGAATGGGGAGGGATGCACGAGCCGCTGCAGGTGTGGAAGTCAGGGGACAGCTAACAGGAGTTGGGTCCCTCCATCCACTAAGTAAGTTACAAACTCAGGCTATCGGGCTAGTTTATAGCGCTTTCACCTACTGAACCTGCCCTACATGGACCTGTCCTCAACTCGTTGGGACTTTCGCATCTTCAGGGGTTCCTTCCTTCCTTTCCATTAGACGAGGGTCATCTGGCTTTTGAGAAAAGGGCGAATTCTTTCTGATTCTGTTTTCAGGCTCACTACCTAGGCTCCTAAATGTATGAAGCCTTCACAGAGCAAGGACCCAACTGAGTAATGGAAGCGTCTAATGAAGGCGACCAGGGGAGGGGAGAGGCAAACCCCACCAAGCAAATGGTGTGGTCAGAAAAGCAGAGGTATTGGGGGGGGGTAGGAAACCCTCCCTTCCTGGAGAGACAGATAGGTTGGCTTGAGAGGTCCCATTGCCTGGGGCAGATGCTGATAAACCTCAGAACTGGTGACCTGAGCCTCTTGCTGGGGCTTCCTAAGAACATGACCCCCACGGGCACCTGCTGGGAGTGTATGGAGGCCCTGGACCCCAAACATCTCTACTCTCCTGATGCAGCTGTGTGTTGCTCCTTGTCCCTACACCTCACTGGAAATTGCTCTCTCTTTCCCAAAGCAGGTTATGATGCTGATTCCGGGGGCAGGGGGAAGAACCAGGGTAAAGGGCCTACTGGGTGCCCCTTTTAGCTGCTGTGATACCAACTGGTTCCTTGTCTCTTCCCTCTCTGGCTACGATAGGAGAGCCCGTTCTCTACATTCCCCAAATCAGTTGTCTGTTCACAGGGTGCCCCAGGACCATCTGTCCCCAGAGACCTCCACTCATTCCTTCCCTTGCTGGATTGGATAGCAGTGTCTCCCCCACATCCCCAACTGTGCCCAGTGCCACCCCCTGCTTACCCCTCTCCTCACTGGACAGGACAGCAGAACCCACCACTCAGTACCCAGTACCACGTGCCCCCCAGGGGCCCCAGCTCACCCAGGCTGCCGGTGCAGAGGCAGTTGTGGGTCCGAGGCTGGGGCTTGGTTTGGTGGCTGTCAAGGATCTGCTGCACCAGCTGCTCCACTGAGAAGCCCGAGCTGCTGTTCCCATTGCTGCAGGTCCACTTGATGCCATGGACTGGAGATAGAGAGGGGGGAGTGGGGAGAGAGAGAGATAGGGAGAAGGAGAGAGAAAGAGAGAGAAGGAGGGAAAGAGGGAAGGAGGGAGAGGGAGGAGAGGAGAGAGAGAGAGAGAGAGAGAGAGAGAGAGAGAGAGAGAGAGAGAGGTGTCAGGGGCTGCTGGTGATGGGGCTGTCCTGGAGATGGTATCAGGTTCTCTGAAAGCTCAGCATGCTGGAAGGCCGCTGCTAGGATGGGCTTGAGAGGCCGAGTTAGCCAGCAGAATCTCTGCTCTTTTAGGAGATCCGAGCTCCTCCTTACTTTTCTCCCTTTGCTGAACTGGGTGAACTGGAGTAGTAATTTGTCTACAGTCTCACTTCTGTCTGTCTGAAGTCAAAGGCACTGGGAAGGCTCTTTGGGGGTTCCCAAGAGGAGGTAGAAAACAAGGATGGGAGGAAGACCGGAAGTTTGGGAGGCTCGTCGTGTCTGCGGACTATAAGACTTTGTGCAGACTCACAGGGCAGAAGCAGGAGGGTTCACTGAGCATGTGGCAGGGGGGCTCTCCCCTATAGGAAGACTTCAGCTTCCTACCCACCCCACACTTCTCTATTCCAAAGGGAATCACAGAGCTGGAACAGGACTGATAGGCCCATGATCCCACATGTAGGGGACTCAGTCCCTGTTCTCACTGATGGTCCATTATGTCTACAGATGCTCTGGGGTTTGGCTCACTCTTGGGTGTCTGCAGTCCCTGGAGTTGGGGGAAGAGCCCAGAAAGAGGTTTCCACCTGCCTGGCAGGATGAGGCTGGACAGACCCCCTAAGACAAACCGACAGACCCCACCAAGAGCCCTGAGGGGGGGGGCATGGCTCTACCCAACACTCTGGTATCTCCCACAGTGAACCCCCAGCATTGGGGTTCCAGGAAGGAGGTGAGTGTGCAGGAAAAAAAGGCAGAGAGGTGGGTATCAAACACGGGGACACCACTAGGGCTCCAGAATGCAGCCATAGGGGGTGCCTAAGCCACAGGACACGGAGGAGCTGGGGCCAGGCTCACACCTGGGTTTGAGGCGAGGGTTGGCTCTTGTGTGAATTCAAGGCGCTTTAGTTGGCCTCTCTGAGCCTGCTTCCTTGTCTATAAAGTTAAAATGGGAAAAGACGGGGGTGTGCCTTGCCAGCGAGTCAGGGAGAAGGCCCATCTGTATGTAGCTGTGAAACCCGAGCACAGAGTGTCATTGTCATCGCTGTGAAGGGTGAGGACAGTGGCATGGTGACGTGAATGAAGCAGGAGGTGACAACAGTGGCTCTTGGATGTGGCTGTGGCCCACAGACATCTGAGGTTGGGAAAGGAGCTTCTTGGTGGGGAATCCACAGACAGCTCAGCCTGCCAGACCCGGTGCAGACCCCACAGGAGGTCATCGGCCCAGGTCGCTTTTCCTCATTGCGTCAATGGTGGGTTTTTTTAAAGGGAAGAAGCTGGGTCTGTGGTTGGGTTCTGGCGGGCATCCTTCCAGGCTGTCTTCCTTTGGGCTCCTCTTGCCCACGTGGCCGGCTGATGGTTACCTTCCTTGTCCTTTACTCTGGGGGTCTTCAAGGACTTGCCTCCAATATCTTCTGATGCCCCCAGTAAATTCCAGCTTCTGGTGGGCCAAAGAGGATGAGCCTAGGTGGCATTTGCTGCTACTCTGCCCATCTGCCTAGCCTTGGAGATGTCCCTGCCTGTGGTAGTCCTGTGCAGTCAGACAATGGTTTGTGCTCCATCCTTCTGCAGGTGGGGAGGGGCTCCCTGTGTGTGTCCCAGTGGAAATGGGAATCCCCACAGATTCAGGAGGCCTTAGATCTTGTTAATTACCCCCATTTGGGTTTCTTCTTTCTGAACATTGTGTTCCCAGGACATCTCCAGGAGCCGGAAAGTATGGCCCAGGCCTGGGTTTGCCTGCCTCACCACAGCCACGGCATCTCCTTTCTAAGTTATAGTCTATTTTCCCAGCACACAGGCTGGACAACAGGAGGGGCCTGGGCAGGGGCCAGGCCCTGACCTCTCCAGGTTCATTTCACAGATGAGGAAACAGGCTCAGGGAGGGGAGATGATAACACATATCATACCCAGGAGCTGGAGGGTACCATGGAGGCTCTCCTGCCCCGCCAGAATGTGCCACAGCCTCTACCAGCTGTGTGTCTCCTCCTGTGTACGAGAACTTGACTCGGTGGGGCTGAAGTGTTTCAGGAATGTTTTAATGCTCTCACAGTGTGTGTGTCTCTGTGTATGTCTATGTATATGTGTGTACGTGTGTGTCTGTGTGATGTATGAGTGTGTGTATGTCTGTATATGTGTGTGTGTATATCTGTTTGTGTATGTATGTGTGTCTGTGTGTGAGCGTATATATTGTGTGTGTACATGAGTCTGTATGTGTGTGTGATTGTATGTGAGTGTGTGACTATGTGCATGTGTCCTTAAATGTCACCACGATAGAACACAGAACTCTGTCCTGATCCTAACCTAGCAAGGAGTTCAAGGTCAGGTAGAAGGTCCTTGTATTAGAGCATCCACTATGGGAACCTTGAGCAGGCGCCAGTTGCATGTTCCTTGGTGACCTCTCCCCCCTGCCTTGAATTTGGCTTTCTAGAGAGGTGATTGTTCTCAGGGAAACTCCACTGCTGGCTTCTAGCCACAAGCCAGCAAAGATGGTGCTTTGGGCTGAGTGGGTTCATTAAGGCTCCACGGAGCTGAGGGTCTGACCAGCTCCCCACACTCCTGCTCCTCGTCCAACCATGCAGACCTCATCCTCTGCAGACCTCAGCCCTGCTGCCTCTTGCTTTCTTCCTGAGGTTGTGAAAGTTACAGAATGAAAATCCAGTGAAGGGAGACAGATTGCAAGCCGTGAATTTCTGGATGCTTAACACAAATTACCGAGAGTCTCGGTCTATCCAATGTGCAGATTGTCTTCCCCCTCCATCTGGGGGAGGGAGAGAGAAGCCCCCTCCTTCAGGGAGGGGAGCCGTTAGTACTGAATATCAAACACCATCAAGTCAGCTTTTAACACGCATGCTCGGCGTCCCGACATGGACCGAATCAGTGGGAAAGGAGATTTCTACAGCGGAGGAAAAAATGTGTTTTGAAAGGAAGGTTCATAAACGTACAGGGCACTTGCTACTCACCACCCCTGCCCAAGCCCCACACCTAACCTATGACAGCAACAGAAGGGAACTCAGGAAGTGCCCTGGATCAAATGCAAGGTCACAATGGGGCACTGAGAGCCAAGAAAACAGCCTTGCTGGCTCTGGGCCACATTCACCCGCTCCTGGTCACTACTCTTCCTCCCAGCTCAGGAGGAAGCCCCAGCTCGAAAGAATCTCAGACCCTCTCTTTGGTTCCCCTACGCGGAGCCTGAGTGGTGGTCCCTGAGCTGGCCAAGGGGTAGAGGGGAACCTGAGTCCCCGGGAAGACAGGGACAGGGTATATCCAAGAGAGGGGGCAAAGCAGGCACGGGGCGGGTAAACTGGCCCTAGCCTAAGCCTTCCCAGGATAGGAACAGCAGAGAAGACCACATTGACCTTCAGGAAGCAGATGCGGGGACCTTAAAGGACTCCATCTGTGGCTTCCTGCTGAGCACTCTGGGGGGAGGGGTCCCTGGGCTGCCTGCTGAGAGGCTGTGTGAGGACCTGTGGTAGAGCTGCAGCTGGGGGATGGCTGTCAGATAAACCAATTAACTCACACCATTGCCCACCTGCCTAGCAAGATGCTCTCCCCAATCAGACTGGAGGCACGGTAGCTTCCGCCACTATGAATAAATGACCCAATGCTAGCACCTGGCTGTGCCTGGGGACCTTCTTCCCAAGAGGCAGTCAGCTGCCAAGAGGAGAGCGATTGAGACGGGGCAACTGCCAGCTTAGGGCATCCTGGGTATGGCAGCTCCATCCATGAGTCTCCAGAGGAAGTGGAACACATGGACCACCCTGCCTGCCTAACCAGAGTTTCCCCTGTGATGAACTGAATGGTGCTTCCCCAAAGCTACACGAGGGACCCCACCACAGATCTTTAAGAAAGTCAATAGATGAGGTCATAGGACCTCGTGCCATAGGCAGACAGACCAGACGTGCCTGTACTCACGGGGAAGTCATGTGAGGTCATAGCAAGACAGCAGCCCGAGGCTGTGCACAGCCAGAAAGGAGCCTCGCCAGAAGCCAACCTCCAGGTCACCTTGATCTCGGCCTTCCAGACTACAGAACTGGAAACGGCAAGTTTCCACCGTGCGTACACAGCGTAGCCAGTGGTGCTCGGCTGCAGTGACGCCTGTAGCCTGTTTCAGCTGCTATCCCAGCATACCATGGACTAGGGGTTACAATGGACAGAGATACGGTCTTCACAGTTCTGGAGGCCAGAAGGCCAAATTCAAGTACAGAGAGAGAGAGGGCAGCATGGAGGAGCTGGGGAGTAGGGAGAAGCTGAGGGATGGGGAGGAGCTGGTGGGAGAGCAGGAGAACAAGGAAGGAATGGGGGATCAGAGGACACCTGACAGGTAGGTGTTCTTGGAAGCACCAGTAAGCAGAGGTAGGGGACAAGGAGGTCCCCATCAGGGCTGCAGATCCAGACCTAGCCCAGGTACTAGGAGGGGTAGCTTGGCCTCCACCGTGGCAGGCCAGGTGCCAGCACAGGGAAGCATACAGCTCTGTAGAGAGGACGAACTTTCCATGATACAAGTGGCCCTTAGACCCGCCTCCTCACTGGGGATTCTTGCCACCAAAGTGAGGTGATGGTGTCCCAGGCCAGCAGATCTTTGCTCTGTCCTCATGGGCTTATATGGTGACCCACACTTGCTGACGGCCGCAAGGGACGATGGTGCTGGGACTCGGAGCCCAGGGGAGGCAGGTGGCTTGCAGCTGCAGCTGCCTCTCCAGCAGCCGTGTGTGGCTGCACCTTTTCCTTGTGCTCCCTGGAAGTGTTTTTCTACCTCAGTTCTCTCGGCTGTCATGATGCTTCCTTCCCCTGACTCCACCTCACTCCTCAGAGGACTTTGAG